ACACAGACAGTCAATACACCACACACGAGTGATGATTGCCACTTGTGTGTGTGGTGTGTGCAGTGATCGCTCACGTGCCTCGTCATTACGGTCGGATATGTTGGCCAGCACCGGGCCGTGCATGGCGGCCAGCGTGATATCATAGATCAGCTGCGTGGCGTAGCTAGGCATGGGCTTGCCCTCGGCCAGCCGCCTGCTACTCACCACCTCAACCACCTGACAGACAAATGGAGAGACACACAAGAGGTGGGCAAATGTCGTGTGCAGGGTGAGTGGCATGTTGTGTGAGTGATGTTCACCTCCTGTATGTTATTGTGCGTTTCGAGCAGCGTGAAGGCCTCGGGGAGACTGCTGACCACCCGCGGGAAGTGGCTGCCTCCGTTGAGTAGGAAGCCAGCCACCATCCCGCCTGCAAAGCAACAGAACATCGAAATGCGAACACCGACTCGTGGCGGGCGTGCTTACGGAGAGTCAGGTTGGGGTGCTGCTGCTGGATAAGCTTCACCAACTGACAGAAAAGGTGTCACACACAGACACAGAGAGGGAGAGGGATGTGTGTTGTGTGTGATGGAGGAGGGTGTTTGTTGTGTGTGGACATGGTTGTACCTTGACGGGGTCCGTGATGTCTCGCTCACCGCTACTCACTGGCTGTGTCGCCACCTGCACCAACGAAGACAGCCAGACAGACAGAGAGGTGTGGGCAATGTGATCAACCAGACAGCGAGTCTGCCACTTTTTTTGCACCTGTATGTGGTCGATGCCCTCGAGTTCGGGGCACGCTATGCATTTCCTCTCCTTGATCGTCTTGATCCACCATATGACTAGTATTATGATGATGCTGCAAGGACACACGCAAGGGTCACACGTGGGCGACACGCACTGATGTATGTGCAGATTGAGCTCACATCCATCCGTCGCAGGTCTCGATGGTGATGATCGGTTTGACAGCGTCCCGGACGGCTCGCGACTCAGCCTCCTGGTAGGCGGAGGAGAGCCGTCGAGACCGCCTGGAGGCAGTTGTCACCCGCTGCGAATCGGATGGTCATCTTGTGGGCGGTGTTGGTGGCCTCGAGATACTGCATTGACAATGAAAGAACCACACACACCGATACGACACATGAAGTGAAACAAACAGTGAGTGACAGTCGACAGTGTGCCGTGTTGTGTTGTGTTGTGTTGTGATGTACCTGTTTGGCGGTGAAGGCGTGGCGCCACTTGTTGGGGCGGCGGTTGGTGACGTATTCGTAATTGCCCTCGCTAAGCAGCTTGTGGCGGTTGGGTGGTGCCGTCCTGTCCGCCCATACTTCCTGACACACACGCATTGACACACACACACACACACACACTGTGACAATGCATGCGACGTCACACACATGAGTGGCAATGTGCTGTGTGAGACCCACCACGAGTGTGCCCGGCTTGTTGAGTGTCGTGTCGAATAGTGACACAAAGTACTCGCCGAAGCCGCTATACAAGTGCTTTTGGTGTTTTGCGATGATGTCGTACTTAAACCCGTGGGCATCCAGCTGCACAACACACAAACACACAAACACACAAACACACAAACACACAAACACACAAACACAGAAGTGCTCAATGGCAAGAGTGAGTGAAAAGGCAATCCACCTACTTGGGCTTGACTGATATGAAATATGCCCTCCTCCTCATGCAACATTACCCCTACCCTCTTAGCCCCACTTTTGACGATATATTGATGGTCCACCACGCCCCCCCTCTCGTGGATCCACCCACCCATTCCGCCCCTCTCCCTTGGCACCTCCTCCACCACCCTTGCCCGCAGCTCATCTCTCTCTCTGGCCACTTCATTGTATTTATGTTCGAGGTCGGCGTATTTGGCCCTCTCCTCCCTTAGCTGCTGCTCCAGTGCGGCGTTTGCGTGTTTGAGCCGTGTGTAGTCCCTCACCGCCGCACGAAGGTCCCTAGCTGTCGGACATGATAACTGGTGGATCCGCCGCCGACATCTCTCGCTCGGCGGGGATGCACTTATCAGTTGAGCTGACGGTCACTGGCAGAGAGTGTGCGTATGCCGTCAGTCACTTCGTTGACGCAAAGCGTACCGTCAACGATACGCCGTGTGCGCCTCTTACGCGTCTGACAGGACAGAGTGCATTATGAGTTCTTGCTGACACATGAGTATGCATGCGGTGACTGACATTCATTGCCACTTAGTGAGGGCACTCACCAACCTCTGAGAAATGCGTCGAGAAAATGAGACGGCGAAAGAAAAGCAGGAGGCGGTCCGTTGGCACCTGAGGATGACCCAGGGGATGCACATGAGCACACACACGGCAGTGAAATGGACCGTTCCATTCATCGCTGCACCCACACCATCACCGGCCACAGCCAGAAGACATGACACTCAAGGCCACACACGTGTGCTCACCTGATGGAAGGCAGTCGGCAGTCGGCATTCGCTCAGCAGAGGGCAGGGCACCTCCGGGCGAGGTCTTGCCCGGGGCACCGCGGCGGAGGAAGCAACTTCAAGGAATTGGCGGATGACATCCGGAGGGGTAGAGGCGACGTGGAAGACCACATAAGCCAACAACCAGGACAAAATGAAAAGAACAAACGGATCTGTGGCCGGAAAACTGCTGAAGACCACGAAAGCGGTCGTGATTTGGAAAATTGTCATGTTAGTTCGAAAATCAGGGTTTGTGGGGTTTGTCCCGTCTCCATTCTCGTCGTCGTTTTTTGTCTTTACTCTTCCCCCGCTTAGTCCACGACAAAGGGGCTGTGGTGAATTAAGGCAAACACGACAAAGCAAATGCTCTCTTTCTTTGGTCTGCGTCTGTGTGCGCCTGAATATGGGTATCCATTCATTCACTCTCTGCTTTCAATGGGGTCGGGACGACTGCTGACGGTGTCTCTCAGCCTCGTTTCATTGGCACATGCGCGCAGGTCAGATATGAATATTGACCTCATGATCAGGGCATTCATGGCATCGCACTAGAGGTCCTCACGCACCAATGTGTTGGTCTGTCTATCTGGATAAATAGATAAATACGCGGGCATGCACATGCACACGACATGCAGCGAGCAGTGTGTGGACGCACATGCAGCACATACATACACACATATGTATATCGATGGGCATACAGATGGTAGTATAAACACCCGCTGGCATCATGCAGGTGGGATGGCTGGTGAGGACAAAAACGGACAAACACATAAGGCACTGACTCACACGCGACAGACAGACTTGACCGTAAAGGGCACTCACCCACCGGCTGGCATATCGCTTAAATCGACAGACAAACATGGCCTCTTGCCCTCCACCCGCTCCATGACCTGCCCTCCTTCGACTCGACTCACTGAGATGTCAGTCAGGGTGCGCCGGTCACAAATGGCCGCATCCAGCGGCTCACTTCCTCCATCGACCCGGCAAAGGCGACCTCAGTCTGGCACTGCTCGCACAGGTAGGCCTCTGGCAGCATGGCCATGGGCTCCTTGTCCTCCTTGATGAGCTCCTTGTTGACCTCGCCGCGCCGCGCATTCTCGGCCCTCACTCGGGGGAGGTTCTGCCGCCAGGCCCTCTGGCGGTCGGCATAGCACTTGGTGCAGATGTGCATGTGGCGGCAGGGGATGTACATGACGGACGCAGGGCCGTGCTCGCCGAAACAGATGACGCAGGCCGGAACGTCATCTCCATCACCATGATGCTGCTGGTGGTCCGTCGTGTTGGGGGGTGTGGATGGGTGTGGCTGGGCGAATGATGATGACGGGGGAGGGGCGGCCGATGAGCTGCTGCACGAAGGTGGCTGGTGGTGCTGGTGGTGAGATGATTGCTGCACGGTCATTTTGGCGATCCTAAGCGCAGAAGACCATACAGTGAGCTGAATGCACTCTTTTGGCGAGTCTGTGCCTCCTTTCCTTACGTCCACTGGGCCTCCTGCAGCTGGCGTATCAGTGCCTCCTCGCTCCGCCTGGCCTCTTGTGCCTCCCGAGCCCTTCGTTTGGCCTCTTCCTGAGTGTGCTCGAGCTGGCGGCAGAGCTGATCAAAGAGCTCCTCACTCCCAGACGCACCGCCACCCATCATACCCCCAGACCTTCACACAAACACGCAGCGGCGAAGGAAAAGAGTGATACGTGCTGTCCGTTTCCTCTCTGCCTGCATTTGCGTACCCTGTGGATGGCCCGCCATTGCCGTTCTGCATCGTCCCGGCCGCCTGGGCCGCGGCGAGGGGGTCAGCTGCGCTGCTCGATGAGGGCGGCTGGTACCCTTCCTCTTCTTCATACTCAAATATGGGCGGCGGGGGCGGCACATACATATCGTCATCATCACCACTGTCGTAGCCATAGAAGGGGTCAGCCGACAGACCACCACCACCAGAGCCACTGGCACCACCACCACCATTAGCAGCCGCAGCAGCTGGGGTTGGGCTAGACGGGAAGGGCTGATGGATACCGAGTGGGTGAGGCGGGAAGCCGGACGCCTGTGGGCCGCCACTGTAGCTGACAGGGAGAGGGGGACCGATAGGATGGAAACCACTGCACAACGGAGCAGCATGAAAGGAGAAGTTCATAGAAGCGTTGCTGACAGACAGACAGATAGACAGACATCATGTCCGTGTTACCTTGGGTCGATGGGTGGGTGTGGTGGGGGTGGCGGTGGAAAGGCCGGCGGGGGCGGCACACAGTACATGTCAGCACCATTGCCGTCGTCATAGAACGCGTCAGCCGACAGACCACCACCACCAGAGCCACTAGCACCACCACCACCATTAGCAGCCGCAGCAGCATTAGCAGCCGCAGCAGCTGGCGTTGGGCTGGACGGGAAGGGATAAGGGAAATTGAACGGATGTCGTGGGCCGCCATTGTAGCTGACAGGGAGTGAAGGACTCATCGGATGGAAAGCACTGCACAGCATGACAGGCATGGAGCAAGCACTCATCGGTAAAAGCGTCACTGATGTCCGTGTCAGGCGTGTGTCACCTCGGATCGATCGGTGAGTGTGACGCAGGTGGTGGTGGAAAGGCCGGCACGTGGGCGAATAAACTCATCGAATGAGAATCCGTAGAAGAACTGCAGGACACATAGAGGAACAAGGGACATCTGGCGTGTGCAAGCGAACGCATGGCTGTGACGACGGATCTCACCTCGGCCCCTCATCCTGTGTCGGCTGCTGTTGGTGGTCTTGTCCACTCGGCTGCAGTGACGGTCTGTTGCGCAGCTCCTCGGCCGATGGGCGTCGGGGGTAGGGGATGGAGGGCAAGGGGGACGGCTGGTGGGCAAACATCGTCATGAGGCCCCTCCCCGCCCCACGACCTCCCATTGGCCGGGGGGAAGGCGACGCCCAGCCAGACGGACTGTCATCGTCAGACAGCAGCGGGATGGCAGCCGGACTCCTCGGCAGAGGAGGGGCCAGCCACCCATTGCCAGGTGACGACTTGAAGCGACCCTTGGGGAACTGGGCGCTTGAGAGGGGGGTGGGGGCGGGCATCCGAATGGGTGCTGTGCCGCCGCGATAACGATCCTCATTGGCGGCAGGTGGAGGGCGCCCAATCTGCCCCGTTTGGTTGGTTCTGAGTGCGGGTTGGAGTGAGGGGCGGGACGGCTGGCTCGGCTGAGATGTGGACGTCGGGGTGGGCCTGGTGTTGTGTTTGTTTTCTGTCTTTTTCGTCTTGCCCTCGTTCCTCTGTTGCCGTGCGTGCTGTGCGAACGCCGAGTTGATCAGCATCGCGTCGCCGTCCTCATCATCATCACTTCCGACAGCCGCCGAATTTGCTGAATCGCCACCATCACCAGGCAGGTCGCTGCCCGCAGCCGCTGACACGGACGGCACATGAGGCGCACCAGACCTGCAAAGACAGGGATCGACAGACACACAGAGGAATCAAACGTGTAAGGGTATCTCGTCAAGTGGATGGATTGCTTACGTGTCGCTGATGGAGGAAGTGGGCTCCGGCTGACTCGCCTCAACCTCATCGGCAGCAGCCCGACTGCACATCCACCGACACAGACACACGAGGCAAACACTCCCTTCAGCCACGCACCATGCACCATAGTGAGTGGATGGCTTCCCTACCTAGTGGATGCGGCGGTGGAGGGCACCGAAGGCTCCATGATCGGATCAAAGGGGCTCGCCTCGTCCCCACCTGCAGCCTCCTGCTGCTGTCCCTTGCCGCCCTTTGTGGCCTTGCCTCTCTTGGTCTTGCCCTTGCCTTTGTTGGCCTTCTGGTCCTTTCTCGCTTTGACCTCCTTCTCGCGTCGCTCTTGCTCGAGAAGGGCCTTCTCCATGCGCTTCGCTTTGGCGTCCTGGGCCGCCAACTGGGCGGCCGACACGGTGGGCTGTGCGGCGGTCTTGGGTTGGGCCTTGGTGTCCTTCTGGTGCTGTTGGGCGAGGGCATTGAAGAAATCCGACACCTGATGTGGCAGAGAGAGGTGAAGAGGAGAGCCTCGTGCTGTGCAGGAGCGTTGCTCACCTGTCGTGAGACCTCGATGCCACTTGTGCGGCTCCGGATCGCCTTAACCGACTCGAACTGACACGGCGGCACACAGACAGTCAGAAAGGCAAAGCACACACGACCCTCGGCGTAGCTACCTGCAGTATTTGTCCGACGATGGGGTTCGGTGCGACCTTGCTGACCAGCGACTTGCCATAGCTGACACACATGACACAGCGACAAACAGACACGCTCAATGATGCGTCGGACTTCCCTGTCTGCAGCTCATGGCTGACCTGACGATGCTCCTGAGAATGTCGACAGCTGTCTTGCGGTCACTGTCACGGAGGCCATCTAGCTGTCCCTGTGCGTCCTTGAGCAGCATGTCACACATCGCCTCTGCGAGTCCATCGGTCCCCAACACCTACATAAACAAACGCACCACCACAGCACTCTCCTCCAAATGAGATGGGATGGGAGGTCCGTGACCTTCCTCTGCTGACCTTCCGATGCTTCTCACTGAGGGCCTTCAAACAGGTCATGCAGAGAAACAAATCAGGCCTCCCGATCCTCTCGGCCCTCTCAAAGAAGAGGGTCAGACAAGACACGAACCTCGACTCGATCAAAGCGCCAGCGTCCCCACCATCTGCACACACACACACACACACACGCATGGTTGAAGAATCCCGGGAGGTGCACCGACTGGCTGACTGACTGACTGACACGGACCGACCTATCATGGCCATGGCTGGGGTGACCAGAGCAGTAGTGATGAAATCCGCCAAGGAGCCCGTTGGATCCTTGCACGCTCTGTAGTCCATGTCCAACGCGTTGGCCACCCGATCTCCCATGGTGGCATCCAGAGGGAGACGACGAAGCGACTGCATCGGCAGAGGGGCAGCGGCCGTGATCTTGCCCACACCGTTTTGTGCGATCGCATCGACGAGGACGAATCGATCAGGCGCAACAGGACCTCCACCTGTGGACACACACGCAGTCCAGGTGCATGACGGGCGCTCCCGCGCCATCCCTTTCGTTGCCTACCTTTCCTCTTTCGGACGCAGAGGAAGATGGCGGCCAGGAGGAGAATTCCCACGGTGGAGCTTGCCGCGAAGCACAGGGGAGAGGAAGGATTGGATGCCGCGATGAAGGCCTGCAGCGTGTCTATGTGAGCGTAGATGTGTGTGTTGAGAGCCGCTTTGATGACTGGCCACTCCTCCACAATGCCTGCCAAGACAAAGGACAGCAGCCTCGTCCAGAGAACGCATCCACGTGCACTTTTCTGACCTTCGCGTGGCGAGTTCAATAGATAGTATGTGGCATACACCAGCGGCGATATGAAGTGGCTCGTCCCCTCTGTCTCGTCATCGCCCAGCTGCTTCAGGCCCTCGACGAAAATGGAGAAGAACTCGAGCACGAGTTGAATTGATGGGCCGACAGGGCTGGGCGTGAACAGCGCCGTCAGCATCACGGCAGCCTCCTTAGCGACATTCGCGTGTCTGAACTCCCGAATGACATCCATCGCCTGCCGGAGGGTCTTTTGATGGGTCTGGAGGACACTCGCGCGAAGCCGGGGCCCTCCCGTCGCCTCGAGTGTGATGGCCGCGTGAAGAGCGCATTGGATCAGTCGAAGTCTCGCATATGTCACGACGTCGACGGGGCGGGGCAGCGGCTCGTCGCCTGACGATGCCTTGACGATAGCTTCCGCAATCGAGCTGTTGCCCCCCTCCGCCCCTCCCTCCGACAGCTCCTTGCACGCCACCTCCGCTCCACCCTCAGCCACCTCCTCAAGATCCCTCCACGTCACGATATCGAAGATGTGCCGGATGGCCGACAGACAATCCGACGGGTGCATGTAGTCCAGGAGGTCATGAGAGTGGCCGACCAGCAGGTCAGCGGTCGCCAGCTGACATTTGTCGTTTCCGCTATCCACCAGACGCATCAGGACGCGACGGAAAAGATCCCCCTCTTTTCCGAACCGCACGGCCAGCCGCTTGACGAATGCAGTCGTCACCTGGTCAGCGCTGGTTTTGGCTGCCGAGGTGAACGTCTCAATGTCGTCAGATAGCAGGCCGTCCACCAGCGCATCGGTGTCGAGGGGTGATGAGGGCTGCGGCGAGGGGGAGAGGGGCGGCGGAGGAGGCCCCGACGCCGGATGGGTGTGCGAGGCTGTCTTGTGCTTGGTTGGGCGGTGCGATCGGTCCGTCGCGGCTGAGCTGCTGCACACTTTGACCGTCTTTGGGAGCGATTGGATGAACGACGTCACCTATACAAACAGGCCGGAGGGAATCAGAGAGGCATCTGTGCACCCATCGACTCATCTTGTTCGGTCGTGTGGTTTCGTTGGTTGCGTCGCTCACCTCTATTGGAAGGTCGGGGCGGCCTCTCAGCTGCTGGACGGCCTCACACTGGCAATAAAGCAGACGGACAGACACGAAGACGGACACGTCACGATCCACCTGTGGCTATATGATCCATCTCCTCTGCTCGGTGCTCACCTGAACGACCTGGTCGACGAATGGGTTGCTTGTGAACTTGCCCTCAGTGACCAACTCATCACCACGCCTGCACGGCAGCCCATGACAGATTCACATGCATGCAGCATGTGGCAGCCACTACGTCAATTATTCCAAGGAGCCCCCCCCGTCCCTCTCCGCCCACTTGATCATCCACTGCAGGAGGTCCACGATGCACACGACGAATGGCAGCCCCGCAGGCTCGGCTAGTAGCTGACAGACAGCTCCCACCAATCGATGACCTGCGTCGATGTCTCCCGAAGCTGTGCAGAGGAGCACAGCACAGCACACACCCAGCTCCGTCTTTACATGTCACTTTGTGCCCCTTCCTGCATTTCTCTCTCTCTCTCTCTCTCCGTGGCCATTCTGTCTGACCTATAGCTAATCTTGCCGGCATCGTCAAACAGGTAAGCATTATGGGGTAGACGGCTGGCGGCAGCTCGGTGTCGTGGTCAGGAAGGGCGTTGGCCGCTTTAAGGGCTCTGGTGATCAGCGAGGGGTTGTCAACCAGCGGCCGGCACGACGAGGGGGGGAAAGGGGGGAGAGAGTGCCACTGCTCGATGACTTTGAGTGCCATCATGATGGCACCCAGTGTGGCCGCCGCCATAGCCAAGATCTCTCCTTCTCTCGAGGTGATGAGGCACACGAGCGTCTCCATGTGTGCATACAGGTGTTCTTCGACCAGCCGCTTCACGTCCTTCGCCCGTAGCGCTGATGGACGCATGGCACACACACACAGAAGACGACAGCAGCATTGAGTGGTCGGCCAGCTACTCACTCTCTCACCCACCCACCCGCACTTGTGCATCTTACATCCGTCCTGGTGCGGCTGTGAGGCTGTCTTTCCGACCCGATGAGATAAACAAACGACGATCAGCCACCCCTGTGCGTCCATGTGCGTCGCCCCTTTCGCCAGCTCCACCACATGGTCGACCAGGAGTGTAAAAAAGGGGAGGGAGAGCTGGAAGGGGACGGGGGCGGGATCCTCCGCATCGGGTGAAGATGGCAGCGGCAGAAGCTGTTGGAAAGCACAAGACGCCGTCCTCGAAACAGGACTGTGTGTGTCGGTGAGCATGACGGTGAGGCACTGCTTGATGGTCGTCAGGTGGTCAGCCAGGAGTGAGTCGCGAAGTCGAGCGCCCTCCTGCGGTGCAGCCTCGCGCAGAGCCTCAAGCACCGAGGCAAGAAGCATCAACCGCACATAAGTCACGATATCCACTGCAGCATCAGCTTCGACGATGTGCTTGACGACCAGGCTCTCGTCGGGCCCATAGTAGCGGCTGCTGCCATCTGCTGATATGTGCCTCCATGTCGCCAGATCCACAACAACACGAGCCACATCCACCATCTGAAATGGCTGCAATGCTGCCAGGGCGGGCTTGATTACCGCACAAAGAACTACGAGCAGATCTGCAGCAGCCAGCTGGGTCTCTTTGCTGCCGTCATCCACCAGCCAGGTGAGTATGCGGCGCAGCCCATCTTTGTCTTCGAGAAGCCGGGCGGTCACACCTCGGGCCTGCTCTGTGGTGGTGCGTCGATTGATGCACGCACGAACCAATGTCCGCGCTGCCGCTGTGAAGGCCTCGTCCGATGACGAAAGCAGATCTGCGACGGCAGCATCGATGTCGCTCTGACTCAGCGGCGGCGGTTCACGAGATCCCCCTCTCATTTCGCTTTGTCACTTCGGTCGCTCCTGCTCCCCTAGCTCGCAGATAAGGTGGTGAGCTGGGAAAAGGGCAGCTGCTCTTGTGAGGCGGCAGCGCATCCAGGACAATGACAAACGCACACGCAAGCAGTGAGTGAGTGAATGAATGAATGAATGAAGCTGCAGGCTGTCTTGCGAGTGGCTGTGGAGAGGCGAAGAGGTGTCTGAGTGAGTCAAACAGACAAGCACAGAGCGGGAAGACACCGCTGGACTCATGTGAGTGTGTTTGCTTGTGTGTGTTTGTGTGTTTGCAGTGGTTTGGACGGCGTCGTGCCGAGTGGTGCAGCCGATTCCCATTGAGGAGCTGCAGCAGCGGGGACTCATTACCTTCTCTATCGGACCTCTGGATCACCGGTCGCCAAACTGACGAGAAGGACCAACACACTACAATCGACCACTGACCGATTGACTCACTCATGGGTGCCTGCTTGCCTCCTTCACCACTGGTTGGGTAGTATGTGGTCTCTCTCTCTCTCTGTGGTGTAGATGTGTGTGGTGCAGAGGTATTGCGTGTTGGACAGTGTGATTTACGAGGCGCCATCTCTGCTGCGGCTGCTCAACAAATGCCTCACTTACAGGCCACCGGCCTTGGGGAGCAGCCGAGATCGATGCCCACTCTCGCTCTCTGTGTTGATCTGTCATGTCTGTGTGGTTCAGATGAGTGGTCTGAGACGCTGAGGGGGCTGTGGCGCTTCTCGCTCAGTCACGGCTACGACTGGCGCACCGACGGCACCACACGGACCGCTGCCGAGGAAGGCGCCCACCAGGCGTCCAAACAGAGGAGGAGTCATCCCGCTGGTGTGGACATATCGCTCTCACCTTCACTTCACCTTCCTCGCAGACGCACTGCAGCCGGCCGCACGATTCGCCAAGGACAAACAAACGTGAGCCATCGGCAGGAGGTGCAATCCATCCATCTATGTGTGTGTGTCACATCGGATGTCTGTGCGGTAGGTTTGTGGAGGAGCATCGCAAGTTGTGCTCTCAGCCGCCGTGGAATCAGTTCTATGGGCTGCAGGCCGCCATGCCGGCCCCAGCTGCAGCCCAAGAGACAGAGAGCGGCGCCCCAGTTGCCGCTGGTGGTGGTGCCCGTGTGGCTGACCATGTTGTGCAAAGTTAGCTGGATCGATCAGTGGTGTGGAGTAATGCGTCTGCACTGTAGCATGAAATGTCGAGTGAGATGGATGGGATGGATTGGTGCGCCAGTCAGTAGTGAGGAAGCAAGAGCCGGGTGTGATCTGTTTGTGTGTCGTCCATCTCGACCAGACGCTGCTCTTCGGTGTGTGTGTGGTCTGCCGTCGTAAATGGTGCTCCTATCGACTCTACATGCGGGGTCCTTTTACGATTGTAACTGGGTGGACAGCACTCAATGACATGAAGGACGCGTGAGCGCTCTCTGCTTTCAATGGGATGCGTTGAGGAGCTTGGTATGCGGTGGGTGGACTAACGTGGAGACACAAGCATTGAAGTCCTCCACTCGACGTACATAGGTCTCTCTCTGCTGTAATATAGGCAGCTCAACCCCTCCATTATAAAATGTGGGCAGCGATGAAGCAAGACGCCCAAAGGGTTGCAATGCCTCGACGTAACTGAATTGCTCCGTGGAGACATGAGCAAGCATGAAAATGGCCCTGCACGTCCTGTCGGATATAAAATGTAGGTAGCGATAACCAGACACCTCTCTCTCCCTCCCTCCCTCCCTCCCTCTCTCGTAAGTAACGAGACGGCAACCCATGTGCACACCCCATCGATACACTCCCCTTCCCCTTGGGCTGCCGCACCATCGCCGAGCTCCGTCCACGGCATGGATGGATGGATACGGACGTAAGGTACACACTTGGAGTCTCCCTCCCTCCCCTGTCTGTTCCCTCCCTCGTTCGTCTGCCACTGACACGCGACTGACTCGAAAAAAAAAGAAAAGAAAAGAAATGAACCACACAAATTTGACACACACAGACACACGGACACGCGTGACCAAAAACCAAACCACCATGCCATACCCCACCACTAAACACCCACCCACTCACGCCCCCACCCTTCCTCCCTCCCATCGTCCCGGCAGCGCACCCCCACCCCCACCCCCAGCAGCAGCAGCGGCAGCGGCAGCGGCAGCGGCAGCGGTGGTGTCCATCTTAAGGCTGTGGCGTTGGTGTTGTGCTGATCCTCGGTGTGCCACGGCAGGGGGGGCTCATTGTCCCAGTCTCCCATGACGGGCGTGGACAGCCCCTCATCGGCAGGTGGTGGTGGTGGTGGTGAAAGTGGTGGTGGTGGAGGCCACCGCCACCAGGTGGTGTGCGGCCTTGGTTGCGAGTTCCTGCAAACAATCCAACACGGACGACACGAAGCACACATTCGTACGTGGATGCCGGCCGATAGTTGCCGGCTGATTGACCTGGGACCACTGCAAGCGAGGCCGGCCGCTCGCGAGTCGGCTTTCGTTGGTCAACTCCAGAGCACGGCGGCCCACACTGTCGGTAGCCTGCAACAAGGGAAGCCACCAGCAATGGCATACACCGAGTAGGAGATTGTTTGTGGTGTGTGCAACGGCCGGCTGACTGACTGACCGTCTGTTCAGCTCCACTGCCCCTTGCCAGAGTGCCGACAGGTCTGCGGGCGGAAGCAGCGCCACCGTCGGGAGGCGCATACGGGTGCCAGCGGCCGCTGGTGTCACGCACCTGCAGCCATGACACGAACATCACTCAGCCCCCTCGTAAACGATTCATTCATTAGGCCCTTGTGTGGGTGTGAATGCTCACTTTGGGCCCCCTGTGTTGCCGCTGTGTCCCTGGTTCTAGTACTTGTGCTGCGACTTGGCCAGGTGCTCGTCCCGCTGCTGCTGCAGGTCGCTGGCCATGGCGGGAGGGCGGCGCTCAGGGGTCTTTGGCTCGCTCGCCAGAGGGATGGCACTGCGCAGCTGATCCAATACTCTACAACACAGAGAAGAGAGAGAGCTGTGAGCTGAGCTCGAGTGGTGGTTGGCTGGCGCCTTTCCTTACGTGTTGACGAGGGCTGTCTTGCAGTCCGCCTTGCTGATGGTCCAGGTGCCGTCTCTCTTAACAAAGCCGACACTCTGCGCGCAACAAAGGGAGGAATGCGATGTGTGGCGCCACAGTATTGCCCGGCTTTACAGTCAGCAGCTGCAGGCTCTCGGGGTATGCCGCGATCGTGCAATCTGAAACCACAGCGACTAATGCCTTGTTCGTTCGTGCGTGCGTATAAGCGTACCTTTGAGCAGGGTCTGATGTCCTTACTGACATGATCGTGGGATCGAAGGAAAAGGTTCAGACAGATATAAAATGAAGGCAGCGATGGATCGCCGTCCCTCCTGCCCCCAAATCCTTTTCGGCCCTTGGAGGCAGCTGTCACCCGCCGCGAACCGGATGGTCATCTTGTGTCCCTTGCCGGTGGCCTTGAGATAGTGCATTGACAATGAAAGACACACCGATACGACACATGAAGTGAAACAAGCAGTGAGTGACAGTCAGCAGTGTGCCGTGTTGTGTTGTGTTGTGTTGTACCTCTTTGGCGGTGTAGAGGTGGCGCCACTTGTTGGGGCGGCGGTTGGTGATGTGCTCGTAGATGCCCTCGCTAAGCAGCTTGTGTCTGTCGGGTGTTGCCGTCCTATCCGCCCACACCTCCTGACACACACACACATTGACACACGTGCACACGACACACACACATGTGAGAATGCATGCGACGTCACACAAATGAGCAATGTGCTGTGTGAGACCCACCACGTGCGTGCCCGGCTTGTTGAGTGTCGTGTCGAATAGCGACACAAAGTATTGGCCGAAGCAGCTATACAAGTGTTTCTGCTATGATATCATGCTAAACCCGTGGGCATCAAGCTGCACAAACACACAAACACACAAACACACAAACACACAAACACAGAAGTGCTCAATGGCAAGAGTGAGTGAAAAGGCAATCCACCTACTTGGGCTTGACTGATATGAAGTATGCCCTCCTCCTCATGCAGCTTCACCCCTACCCTCTTAGCCCCACTTTTGATGAGATATTGATGGTCCACCACGCCCCCCCTCTCGTGGATCCACCCACCCATTCCGCCCCTCTCCCTGAGCACCTCCTCCGCCACCCTTGCCCGCAGCTCATCTCTCTCTCTGGCCACTTCATTGTATTTCTGTTCGAGGTCGGCGTACTTGGCCCTCATCTCCCTTATCTCTTGCTCCAGTGCGGCGTTTGCGTGTTTGAGCCGTGTGTAGTCCCTCACCGCCGCACGAAGGTCCCTCTCGGACATGCTAAGTGGTGCATCCACCGCCGGCATCACTCGCTCGGCGGGGATGCGCTTATCTCTTGAGCTGACGGTCACTGGCAGAGAGTGTGCGTATGCCGTCAGTCACTTCGTTGACGCAAAGCGTACCGTCAAAGATACGCCGTGTGCGCCTCTTGCGCGTCTGACAGGACAGAGTGCATTATGAGTTCTTGCTGACACATGAGTATGCATGCGGTGACTGACGTTCATTGCCACTTCGTGAGGCACTCACCAACCTCTGAGAAATGCGTCGAGAGAATGAGACGGCGAGGAGAGAAAAAAAGGAGGCGGTCCACTGGCACCTGAGGATGACAAAGGAAGGCACATGAGCACACACACGGCAGTGAAATGGACCGTTCACACCATTTACACACCACACCATCACCGGCCACAGCCAGAAGACATGACACACAAGGCCACACACGTGTGCTGACCTGATGGAAGCCAGTCGGCAGTCGGCATTCGCTCAGCAGAGGGCAGGGCACAGCGGGCGAGGTCTTGCCCGGGGCACGGCGGCGGAGGAAGGAACTTCAAGGAATTGGCGCGTGACATCCGGACGAGTTGGGAGGGGTAGAGGGCGACGGGGGAAACCAGATAAGCCAATAACCAGGAAAGAAGGAAAAGAACCGGAGGATCTGTGGCCGAACAAGACACCAAACAAGCACCCATCAAGGATCTGCGGATTTTGAATGAGCGTCAAATTCGTAAATCAGTCTCGGCCTGTCGCGTCTCGGATTCTCGCCGAGTTTTCCTCCGCTTTTTGAACTCTTTGGTGTGCTGTCAAATTGCCGTTTTGTGGGTGCCTGGCCCGCATTGCCCCGTTTTTACACGACATGGGATGTGGTCAAAAAACACAATAAGTGACCTGTCGATTTCGGTGAAGTGCCCAGTGCCATTGAGAGATCTACAAGGCAGACACTCATGCAAAAGGCGTGTCAATAAGCGCCCTGTCTTTGTCCCCCCCGCTCCCAAGCTTTGCCTCTGTCACCTGGATGAATCCATCGACGGTGACGTTGCACCATCAATTGAGTCATCCGAGTCACTCGATGCAGGAAGGGAAAGAGGAAGAGAAAGAGTCAGACACGCGCAGACATGTCGACACAAAGAGATGGGGAACTAAGGAATGCGGTCGCGCAGCAAAAATGGCAATAATCCTGTTGTTCTCATTGCAGACACACACGCCGTGGCAGGGAGATGGGGCTCCAATTAATGGAGGCAGCGAGACAGACAGCACTCACTGAGTGGCAGTGGATAAAGCACAAAACCCACACGGACACGAACATCAAAACGCACCCACAGCACCGCCCACCACACAGCCACTTGTCGGTGTCTATGTATATCTCTCCAGGAATTCGGTGTGGAAGGCCTGAATGCGGTCGAAGACGTTGGCCAGCCTGTTCTCCTCTGGCAGGATGGTGATGCGGAAGTGGTAGCTGCCACGCAGCTGACCAAAACCACTTCCGGGCACCACCATCACACCTACACGACACAACACAACACAACACAACACACCAAGACGAATAAACACCTGGTTGGTCGGTGCGCCGGCCACCCGGCCACCTGTGTGCTGGAGCAGCTGCAGGCAATAAAACAGATCCGGCAGCTGGTTGGCTTGCCTGCACACACAAAGACAGACACACACACACACAGAGAGACAGACAGAACAGACCACCGAGCCATCCAGCCATCCAGCCGATGTGTGTGTGTGGTTGGATTGCCTACCTAGCGGCTTGTATGGCCTTCGATGGCAGTGTGAGTTTGGGGAAGGCGTACATGGCGCCCTTGACTGGGTTGCACCGGACGCCCTCCATCTGGTTGAGCCGCTCGTAGGCCATACAGGCCCGGCGACGCAGAGAGAGGTAGATCTCATCTCTAGGTGACACACCCACCACACACCCACACAGACACGATGCAGGCTGGACGAGTGTGTTGCGTCTGTGAGCACATACCTCTCGGCTTTGTAGGTGTCGTACGAGGGCTCTTCCGGTTTTGGCGGCGTGAGGATGGATGCGATCATGGCCTGGCCCAGTGTGTTGGCGCACAGGCTGATGGAGAAGAGCTTGTACAGCTGCTCCAGCACCGACGGCTGGATGTTGTCCGCCAGGATGATGCCGCCCCGCACACCGCACTCGCCTGTCAGGCCTTTGGACGACGAGTGCATCGAGAACACCTCGAGATGCGAACCCATGGACGCGATCACCTGCAGGCACAGACACACACACAGTGTAGCTGCACGTGGTTTGTGTGTGTGGTGTTTGTGTGGTGCGTGGATACCTTTCTGAATGAGATGAACTGCTGGTCGTCGGTGTACACGTTGTCCTGGTACACCTCATCGGCAATCAAAACGATCCGTCGGCGCTCACAGAAACGGACCACCTGACACACATCACAATCACACCACATCACGTCAGACGACAAACTCACACCACTTCGTGCAGCCAACGGTTGTGTATCGCTGTCTGCTTATCTCCGAGCAACCTGATCTCCCCTCTCACCTCTTTCATCTTGTCTCGGCTGAGAAGGCTCCCCGTGGGGTTGCCGGGGTTGATCACCACCAGGGCACGAATACGACCTGACCACACACACACACACGCATAGAGTCACACATAGCAGCACCTCCCTCCCCCTGTGTGTCTGTGGCCGGACTGCGTACCTCCCTGTTGTGTGTAAGTGCGGTACGCCCTCTCGAGCTCCTCATCGTGCAGAGCCCACTCGCTCTCCTCGTCCAAAAAGTACCCCACAGCCTGCCCACCGAGGCGAGCAATGGTCGCCGAGTACAGGGGGTACTGCGGCACTGGGATTAGCACACCTGCACGGAGAAAGGCGCGATTGGAAAGGTGCGTTATGTCCATGTGCGTTCGTACCATCGGTAGCATTGCTGATGAGCAATTCCATGATACTGTGGACAGCAATGCTCGCGCCGTCCGTCAGGAACAGGTGCTCTGGGTCGGTCTTGATGCCGTCTCTCTGCTCGAACCACTTGGCGATGTCTTTGCGGAACACCTCGACCCCCTTGCTGTGGCTGTAGGCGCCCACGTTGGGGAAGGCCGCGAGGTATCTCCTGGCTCGCTCGAGGACGTCAGGTTGGTAGCCGCTGGGGTTCATGTCGATCAGCGGCGGGTAGGCCAGACACGACAACACCTGCACACACAGACAGAGAGACAGACAGACAGAGAGAGAGGGACGAGTAGTGAGATTGTCCCGTGGTTGTCGTTGGCATTTGTGTCTTGCCTGTCTGTTGAATGTCATGGGGGGCTGTCCAATAGCCTGTGGGTTGCCGATATTGGCTGCCACGATGTCGTCGAACGGCAAAGAACCTTCACACACACACACAGGTCACAGATTCTCCATAGCTGCGTAATGAGTGCACGATGCGTGTACGTCTCCCGATTGGCCAACCTGGGTGTTCCTTTAGTTGCCGCCTCAACTCCCAACTCTTGGTCACCACACAGCCCCTCACAGCATACTAAACCACCACACACACACACACACACATACATACACACATGCACAGAGATGTCCTGTGCCGTGCCCACCTGTGTCCTGACAACCCTGAAAGGCACCGACCGCAGCGTGAGGACCTTGTCGTCGGCCTCGCCGTCCCCACCCTCTCCCGCCGCCCACATGGCCAGTGTGTCAACCTCTTCACCAGGCTGCAGCCAGGACCAATATCCACACACCACACACCGACCAACCGTGCAGCGTAGCCCAAAACAGTGCAATTCCATGCAACACCTGGGGGTTGGGCAGAGCCATATCGGCTGTGGGGAGGCCGATGGTGAACCCCCCGACACTGTCATCGAAAAGCAGAGCTGCATGCACCGTACACGCGCACATCACAGGGAAGAAAAAGGCGTGTGCAATCTTGGTGACCTGATGGGGTGTATGCCCGCATTGACGCCTGTGACGAAATCGCTGTCGTGCGGCGTCGCGTCGAATCGAGTGTCCGAGCCTGGTAGATCCACACACGCGTGTCGGCTGTTGTGATGTCACGTCTTCCTCATCTTCGCTGCCTCGCATGCCGATCCCCACCACACACCCACCAGTGCGTTTCAGGCCCCCCTCAGGCTGCTCATCTGCTGCTGCACCGATGGGCTGCGCTGCTGTCGGCGCCTTGCACTGCTCTAGATCTGCTATGAGGTTGCTCAGAGCACCAGATGACGTGCGCGTCGTAACAGAGATGTCGTCCATCTTTGATATGTCACAGGTGTCAGGATTGCCAGCTTGGCAAGACGAACCATTGCGAGCTTGTGAGCTAGGGTAGATTGCTGTGTAACGGAGAGAGAGAGGTGAAGACAAGGAAAGACAAGGAAAGCATTCTGAGGAGACACGATCTTATCAGCCATCACCGAAGTGAGATCTGTGTTGACCACCCTTCATGATGCCATACATGGCCAGAAACAACTTTGACTGACTGGCCAGTCCATCGGTCTTAC